TATCTATTATTCTTGAATGGATGAAGTATATTTATCAATAGTTGATGAATTAGAAACTTAGGGTAGAGATGCTGTGTCTAGACGTTGAGATGTGCAAATGATTTGCATCTTAGACTGCCCTTGTATTTTATACCTTTTCATTTGATAAGTTCAGTTCCTTCAGTTTCAACTGTACGACTAAAACGTTATTAATGAATTAATATGGGATGAGGTTTTATTGATAGTATTTTTAATAATTTCAGTATTTAAAAGATTTTTTTTATGCAACCCGTACAGAAAAAATAATTCTACTTTCATTTTATACCTAAAAAGAATATGACAGAAGGAGTTGTGTACCTGCAGATCTAGAAGAAGATACTTAAGAAATTGGACACGAACAAATTGGGCCAAGTTGATTAGAAGTAGCGTACAACAGATCTTCCTGATTGTAATTGCAAGCCTATTCTTTGTGATAAAGGGAGGTTTGATTGATGAATATTCCCTGAAAGAAAAAACATGATTCAAATATGATCACTAGAAGGCATACTCCTTTATATTAATTTACTTGAACTGCCTCGCAAGATTATCAATTAAATAGCTACAAAATAATTAGACAAAATCAAAAAATAGGACAACAAGGAATATAGCAATTTGAAGAAAAATGAAAATGAGAATACAAAAGAAAAAAATTAATAAAAAAAAAAAATCTTAAATTTACACCATTTCAATGAAATTTTCATTAAAAAATATTTTACTTAAATTCCGTTTATAGTAGGTCAAAGTTTTCAGAGTAATAAATAATTCCTAAAACAACCAATAAAAATCTAATGCAAGACTACTACACCTTAGAAAAAAAAATTTATTTCTTTGATCAATAAAAATGTATATACTTTGTCATTTTATACTTAAAAGAGAGCACAATTGAAGGAGTTGCGTTGCTATAGGTTTAGAAAAAGGTATTAAAAGAAGTAGACACTAATGAGAAACAAATTAGGCCCACAAAAACAAATTAGAAGGTAGCATATATATAATAGATTTGCTCGATTTCAATTTCGAGTCTATTCTTTCTTATGAAAAAGGTTGATGAATATTCGAGAAGAAAAACATAATTCCAATAAGATTATAAAGAGATATACATTTTTATATTATTTTTCTTGAAATGACCAAAACAAAGAGATACCTTAAATAAAGTATCAATTAATTAAGTGGCTACTAATTAATTACTAGGTAAAAGCACAAAATATGAAAATGAGGAATCTAACAAATTACTCAAAAAAAGAAAAAAAAATTAGTATAATGATAATGAGAATCTGAAAAAAACTAATGAAAAAAACATAAACTAAATCTAACAACATAGTCATGAATTAATCCATAAGAAACACTGAGATATATATATTAAAGAAAAAAATAAACAGAATCTTGAAGATAGATAGATGGTGTACTTACAATGCAAGATTAGCAGAAGAAATAGGTAAAGTAGGACACTGATAACCAA